GCACACCCAACTGATTCAAACGCATTTGAGATTGAGGGACAAAAAAGCCCATTTACTCTTCTTTATCACTAACAGCTCTTGCCCCTTCACCCTAGGCATGGTTCAGCCAACCTCGCTGTTTAACTCTTGTGGCTTTGGATCTGACCTTCTTCATCAAGGTTGTCTGTGAAGGAGCGGATTGCCTGGCTGCAAGCTCGGGGCTCTGTTGCATGCTTCCAAAGCTTCCAACACCAAATTCACATATCATCGTATTTGCTCCTTTACGAGTACTGTGTGTTGAATCAAAAACTCCCAGAAGCCTCGTTTTATGTTCCCAAGTCTCCAAGGCTTCACTAGGTTCAACCTATTTAGGGAAAGTTATGCTCCCCTACACCCTTATTATTCACTTCTTCCACCAGGATTCTGCTGTTTACAATGTTACATCATTAAAAGGCCTTTTAACAGTTTTAGGAGGTATCTCTCTCTCTATCTGCTTTTTGCTGTCCTCTTAGACATGTTTTGGCACCCAAAACTTCTCCTTCTCTTTCCTTGCACTGATAGTGAGAAATGGGAGATCAGGAAGATCTTTGCCTTTTGTACCTTTTAAAAGCCTTCTCCCGCTGACTTAACTGGCTCTACACACTTCCAGGGGGTGAAAATTTCAGGGATTTCTCTTCATTGGTGGTGTCGTTCTATTTTTGGAGCACAGCGGAATCCTAGGCCACTGCTGGACCTCCGGGACTGTAGTGATGTATGTAGAAAGCAACTGTGGATTTAAGTCACAGCATTTGATGTCTGCATGTGTACTGCATGTGTGAATGATGACTTACAAACTCAGGGATCCTGAAGGATCATTCTCTACGTTAGTAGCTTGCAAAGTTTTGAAGCACAGCTGGCCATCCCTTCAGCTGCACCGATACAGCAGCTCACGAAGACTGCCAAAAAAGCTCAGGTTAAAATAATGTCCGACCCAAAACCTGGGTGATTTCAGTGATCCAGCTTAGAGTGTGGTCCTATGAGCAGCGAGGAAGGAGAAAAGTGACGAACTGTGGCAGCCAAATGAAAGCAAGCAGCCAGAAGTGGAGAAGAGTCTGAAGGTGAAGAGCCCCTCAGCCTGGCTGTGCTGCCAAAGCCCCTGCAAGGCTCTGCCTCTCTGGGAAGCTCTCCCCATGTCTATCCTTCCTCACTTGACGCACAAATAGACCAGGACTGAGTGGGAGGAGGGACACTCTGGAGTCCTCAAAGTTTGCAGGAAGGCAGAGGAGAGGCAGCCAAGTGTTACATTCGCTATGCATGTCTTCTCTGGCCAGGGAGGGGGCAGTTCCCTGCGGCTCTGCTTCCGAATCTATCAATGCCAGCGGCAGCCCGGAGGCAGTCTGGCTGTCGTGAGCAAGCGCGACTCACTGCTGCACTACACAGCTGACTTATTTAGGGTGGGTGGGCAGTATCTGACACACTGTCAATGAGGATTTGGCTGTGTTAAGCAAGCACATAGGCTGTCTAGGCTGTTGGGTCAACTTTTACTATACGCACAGATGTCTATGACTTAAACTTATCAGAACAAGATGAATATGGCAAGGGCAAAAAGCATTACACACACGCAAGACAGACAAGACACTGCACCGGTACTAAATAATTAAATTTATTGGAGTAGATGCTGCGTCAAAGGCTGAATGATCTTCATACTTCATTCACAACCTGTCTAGTAAGACCTGTGATGAGTATTGCAGTCTGGGACTGAGTGTTTAAAAGTGCTCCCTTGATATGTGTGCTACTTAAAGGAACACTCAAGTGATAAATATGTTTTCCAGCGCTTAAGGGAGATTAAGTGTTCCCCTGCTCATGAAAGAAGTCCCTGATCTTACTTCAGATGCAAGCCAGGCCCTGCTACGCTGTGATTCTGAAACAAGGGAGGGATGAAATCTCAGTCTTGTAACATAGAGCCTCTCTGAGTTAATAATAAAGTGTTAATAATGAAGATTTGTCTTTCTCCAAGAAGAGAAAAACAATGAGAGGCAGGAGAAGAAAAGGACACTGATGGACAGGAGGAATTTTCTAAACTTATGAAGGGAACCAGCTAAACAACTCCCACTAATCAAACTAGGCTGAATATGCAAGGCAGCCTTCGAGGTTGGGGCCTATATAGATTTAGACAAAAGCAAATTCAAATGGTATGCTGATGACTTTGGCCCACAAATAATCTTTTAATTTCTGATGGTAATGTATTCTACCTAAGTGTGAAAGAGAAATAGAATATATTAATTTTATAGAATCATAGAATCACAGAATGATTTGGGCTGGAAGGGACCTCAGGGGTCATCTAGTTTCAAGCCCCCTGCCATGGCAGGGACACCTCCCACCAGGTTGCTCAAGGCTCCATCCAACCTGGCCTTGAACACTTCCAGGCATGGGGCATCCACAACCTCCCTGGACAACCTGTTCCAGTGCCTCACCACTCTCAGGGTAAAGAATTCTTCCTTATATCTAGCCTAAACCTACCATCTTCCAGCTTCCACCCATTTCCCCTTGTCCTATCATTACAAGCCCTTGTGAAAAATCCCTCCCTAGCCTTCTTTTAGGCCCCCTTAAGGTATTGGAAGGCCGCTATAATGTCTTCCCAGACTCTTCTCTTTTCCAGGCTGAACAAGCCCAACTCTCTCAGCCTGTCCTTGCGGGAAAGGTGCTCCAACCCTTTGACCATCTTGGTAGCCCTCCTCTGGACTTGCTCCAACAGCTCCGTGTCTTTCTTGTGTTGGGGGCTCCAGAGCTGGATGCAGTAATCCAGGTGGGATCTCACAATGGCAGACTAGATGGACAGAATCACCTCCCTCAACGTGCTGGTCACACATCTCTTGATGCATCCAGGATATGGTTGGCTTTCTGGGCTGCAAACACACACTGTTGGCTAATGTTGACCTTATCATCCACCAGCATGCCCAAGTCCTCCCCAGGACTGCTCTCAATACATTCATCGCCTAGCCTGTATCTGTGCTACACTTGGCCTTATTAAACCTCATGAGGTTGGCCTGGGCCCACCTCTTCAGCCTGTCAAAGTCCCTCTGGATGGCATCCCTACCCTCCAGCATGTCGATCACACCACACAAATTTGTGTCATTGGCAAACTTGCTGAGGGTGCAGTCGATGCAAACGGATTTCTTTTTCAGATAAAAGGCACTGCATATGTTTACTTAGCATTAATTACTGACATCTAGCCTAGTTGTTATAAGGAAATATGTGTATTTTTTCAATTAAGCAATGCTTTTACACTTCCAAATCAACATCTGCTCTTTCAGTGCTGCTGGAAATTTGAGAATTGTTGAAGTTGATCCAGGTGGTCATTTTGTAAAGATCATGAACTGTGACCCTGAATGTGAGGAAAGTATTGGGGATTACCTCTTGAAGCAGCAGGATGTCCAAGGACAAAGAGTGGCAGTATTTCAGCTTCCTCCCGGGACCAGAATGGGGCCCAACTCCACCGTGACAGTGAGTGTCAGGGGTTTGACCTTTTCACAGCTGGCAGACCTAGTGGTATAGAGTCAAACTTAAGTCTGTATTGTCAGAAAGGCTAACATTCACAAATAATTATTAATTTAGAAGAAGCTGCTAATGTTCATCATCAGTAGAAGCCTGGCATTTGCATGGCACAGCCAGCATTTCATGTTGCCCAGCAATGGGAAGCTATTCTGGAAACTCCTTGTCTGATGCATTCTTTCTTCCAACCATTGCTTCCATAAAAATATCCTCAGACTGCCAAAATATTGAGTTGTGCCAGTGTTTGCCGACAGAAGGTGTGAGCCTTGGGTCGGAAACCCATGAGTAACAGAACTGTAAAGGAAGCTATTTTTATGTGTTACTACCGAGGCAATTAATATGGTTTTGTGTATAGTCTGAGGTATCGCTATTTTAGAGACTCACCTGAAAATAAAATGAAAAAATGATGTTTTCCAGACTGTGCCCACTGTCCGAGTAGAGAAAGCTGTAAACTGCTGTTCTGGAAATGAGGTTCTGTTCCTGGCTTTGCCTTGGGTGACTTTAGGCAAAATGATGAAATTCTGTGCCTTAGTTTCCTATTCTGTAAAAGGAAGATAATGATGTGCTCTCCCTTGACGTCGTGCTAGAGGTGTATGTTAAAAATTCAGCGCGTGGGCTGCTGCTCTTCAAAATTCACTTCCCCTCCAGCTATTTCAGATATATCTTTTTGCCAGTTTGAATAAGAGTTAGATAGGTAGAATCTATGACGCAAAGAGTCAGGTGACTTCATTATACTCCAGAAAAGCTTTAAATAGAAAACAACAAATATACACATCTCATGTCTGTGGTGATGAAAAAGGCTTAAATGTGCGAACTAAATGTGACCAAGGCTCAGTTGTAGGTGTAATTCAGGAATATCTGCTGATGACTGCATGTGGCCTCCAGCAACCTCTGGGATGTACCCACACTCAGAGCAAGCACAAGCTGTACTGGGTAAAGATGCTGGCTGCTTGACTGGCTGCAAGACACCTTGCAGATCTCCCCAGAAATGGTTTTCTCTTAGCTTTGACACACCAACAACTCCCACCCCCTCCAACAGTAATCCTTTCAGAAGCTCTGATCAGTGCTGAAGTCATTGACAAGGTTGCTGTTCCCATCATCATTAAAGGGCTCTTGGGTGAACAACTGACTTAGCTAGAAGGCCCACCACAGCTTCTGTTTCAGCAGACACAAGCAGAAAACTTGTGCTGGTTTATTAATTTCAAAGGGTCGTATTCTGGCTGCCAACTCTTACATCTGAAATTCATGTACTATAGTGTCTGTGTGAGAGAGCCAGCTAGGGAGGATTTCCATGCCCCAGCTCCTCATCGGAGCAACAGATGAACCAAAGCAAAATGCTCGAGTTAGATGCCAGTGTAGACGATTGGAATGTGGCCCAAAGCCTCCTTTACCGCCAGTGCTTGTTGGTTCTTCTGACATGAAAATTGAGACCTTGAAAAATAAAAGGAGGCAAAGCCCACGCTCAGCTCAGGTCAGTGCAGCCCTGCGTTGGCCCTCTTACAAGAAGGCCGGAAATGCAAGCTGGTGGGAGCCCAGAAGTCAACGCTGTCTTCTGGTGCGTGTGTGAAAAAGCCACAAGTACACCTTGGCAGTGTGCTGTGTAGTGAACACTTTTCAAAGAGAGCATTTTATTTTTTTCAAGATTCTTCTCCTTTAAAACTGAATGAGAATTGTTTTGACTCCCAGGAAATGGTTGAAGCTATTTCCTCACAGATGGCAAATGCCAAATCCTTTAGGAACACTCTTTGCAAAAGTGTGTTGTGGTTGTCTTATGCAAGGGAAATGTTTTTATAACGGGTCCCTTTTGATACTGCACTAGTGATAAAGGTCACAGATAATTGTGCTCACTTTATAAAGCACAAAGTTGTTAAATCTTTTGTGTAAGGATGAAAGTAAGGATAAAAATTCTAGTCCTCAGTGGACACAGCTTCTCCCTGCACAGAGGGAATCCAGCATCAAGCAGAGACTGGAATTTAATGCTGATATCACCAATCTCTTCCAATGCCCCTTGTAATTCAGAAAATAAAAGCAATCACCTAGTTTTAATCTCACTCTCAGCAAGCCAGACCAAAAAGCCCAGGATTTAATATCACACCTTGAAAAATGTACCTTTGCTAATCTCTGTTAATCCACCAGAGAGGTACTTGAAAATAATCACCATAACTAAGCTGCAAATCTTGAAATACAGTTCTTTCAGCTTTGATTTCACAGATCAAATAGTGACCAGTGTTACAAAAAAAAATTAAAAAATTAAAAGGAAAACTTTTAAACTAAGTTATATTGTATAGATTTCCAGAAGCTATTTTGTCTTTAATGGCGGCTTGATTTTTGCAGGTTTGGGCAGCATGTGCCTCAGTGCTTCGCAAATCTCCTTCACTTTTTCTTTGGAAGGACTTGGAGAGATTTAGGACAAGCCTTGACTTTGATACCATTCTCTGTGAGCCTAGTGGTCCAGTGAGTGCCCTCAGCAAAACCACCGCACTTCTTTACCCAGACAGCTCTATGGATGGACTTCCCTCAGAGATTTAGGATCATATAGTTAAAATCCTTGTAGAATCAAGTACAAACAATCCAAACACAGCGAACCTGTGGATGCCTTGAGTCTCCTGATCTAGTTGAGATGCATCCCTGCCCATGGCAGGGAGGTTGGATTAGATCCCCGTGTGCTGCCTGATCTAGTCGAGAGGTGGTGTCCCTGGTGGCAGGGAGGCTGGATTAAAATGATTTCTAAGGTCACTTCCAGCCTCGGCCATTCTGTGATTCTATGAAAGCTTTGTTTTCTGTTAACCTTGCTTCAGTGTGGATGTTAATTGTTAGGAAGTGAAGGACTGGAGGAAAACAGTAGATTGGTAACACCGCTTGTTGAACGAAAGGCAAGAGAGGCAGGGGTTCCACAAGTGTGAACTGCCAGCCCACTGACCTCTTCCACTGTGTTTCAGCCATGAAAGATGCAGCTACACCCAGGGCTATTCAGCCCATGGCTACCCATTAGTAACTGCCAAACTGGCATTGGCTTGGCAACTGTGTTGAATATTTTTAGGTAACCTTCTGTTCACTTGGGATTGAGAAAGAGCCCAAGATAATTTTTAACCCTATTGTTGTCTGGTGGCAGCTATGGTTTTGTTCATTTTTAGCTACAAAAACTGAAACAAATGACAGTACAGAAAAGACCTGTGATTTTCATAAGCAGTGTAAGTTATACAGCTTCCCAAAGGTACCATAATTTACACCTTACAAAGTGTTAAGTGAAAGGTGACTTTTGGTCTCACCTTTTCACATTTACTCCTATTCTAGGTCAGTTTGCCCATACTTGCTATTACATCAGTGCCAGGGAATCAAAGGCTGAAAGGGAGCTTGAGATGTGGTTACCTCTACTCCTGGCTGTTGCTTGCCTAGGTAGTTATGGAAGACCTTCAGTAATGGAGCCTCCATCATGTCCTCAGGCAATCTGCTTTAGTGCTTCACTCTCCATATGCTTAGAAAACTTTCCTAGTGCCTAAACTGTGGACATGGTTAACAGATTGGTTTTTCGTCCTTCAGCAGCCTTTGACATACTTACAGAATTGTCATGTCCTCTTTTCACTGCTTCTTTGTCTGCTTTACTTAATTGGACCAGTGGAATTTCAAGACTCTTAGATGATGAGTCTACTCTAAATATATTTAAAAACTGGAAATGGATTTTAAAGACCAAAGAAAAAAAGCTGGAATTTGGTGGTTGCGATTAGTATCTATCTTTCAAATGATAAATAACTCAGAAATATATTGAAGCCTACCCTTCCAGCCCTTCCTGATTTGTCTACAACAAACAATTATCTCTGTGAAAAAAATGTAGATTATAATTTAGCAATGATATGTTATTTTGTGGTTTGGTTTGGTTTTATTGGGGTTTTTTCCAGGTTGTGGCTTGGTACACTCCTATCTACTGGAACAGAATGCAAGAATGGGTGGCAAAAAAGAAAAATGAAGAATTGGATAACATTATTATGCCAACTTTCTCAACAGCAAAGCAAACAGAGGGATGGGAAAATGAACAGGAATTTACAATAGCTGATACTCACTGGAAGACGACTGACCCACAGCAAATAAGGAAAAAAAGACAAAGCTTCATTAAAAGGTATCTGACGTTCATTATGTGTACTCTGTAATTGCAGCATTGTGCCAGACTGACTCTATAAGTGAATGCTTTTGAATGAGCATCTTGGTAAGCATTTTTTGAAAAGCTTTGGAATTTTGAAAACAAGTATTAGCTTTAACCTTCAAACAGGGATACAGCTCAAAACTCCTGATAGGAGAGCATTCATTGTTAGTCAATACTAAATGGAAAGTAAAATTCAAGTAAAAATCTTCATAAAATATGACTTTATTTTTACGTCTTATCTTTCGAGCCTCAAGTGTTTGAGTGGCACCATTCGGAGACCACAACATGGAAAGCTTTCAGCCAAAAACATTGATGCTCACAGAAATATTTACCTTCCCCTTGAGAAAGGTGGACCTGAACTTGGTCTTCGCTCAGCCCACTACTGGGCTAGGGATTGATAACCATTGGTTTCTAAATTGCTTCAGAACTCTTCTAGCCTTCGTATCAGACTTAAAATTGGCAGCACTATGAAGAAGCGTGGTTCACTAGCTGTCTGGCTGTGGACAGCTTAGTTTGGGCACCGAGGTCTCAGTTAGGAACCCCTGAGTTGAGCCGTTCACTGCTTTGAATAAGGGACATAATATTGGTGTTTTCTTCTAAGTCTCCTCCAGAAAATTTGTTCCAGGGACTTTTGAGGCAGGTTCACAAAAGAAAACCATGTATTTCAAAAATAAAGGATTGGCCAATCTGAGTATATTTTCACAAAAAAGTGGGTGACCATCTCATGTTTGATGTAATTGCTCTTCTCTAAATTTCTTCTCCAGACTATGGCTGGACATGTTCCAAAGATGAGCAGTTGTCAGCATAGGGTAAACCAGCTGTTCTGCTCAGGTTTTGTTCTTGAAAATCACTAAATCACTTTCACTCAAACTCTCCAAAGAAACTAAGTCATAAGCAGGTAGAAGTTGTCTAAAAATTTAGTGCAAAGAGTTCAAGTCTGGCAGAATTATAACCAAAAGCAAATAGTAAATTATAGTGTAGTATGTCAAACAATATAGAAGTTGCTGTTCTTCCACCTGACTAAATGCATAATGTGTCAAATATATGTGTGCTGTTTGTTAGGTATATTGCATAAATTTAATATATATGTACAGTAAACAAAGTAAATCTGTGCAAAATACATAATAAATATGCTAATGCAACACAATAAATAATGCAATAATAGATAACATTTTTTTTTATACCTTGAGCACATACATGCATGTGCAAAATGTGTGAAATACACCCAGTAAACTTAACTGAATTTCTGTTTACAGGGAAAAAAACACCTTTGCACCCCTTTTCCCTAATCAGAGTGCCTGGTGCCAAAGCCCAAACTCTTCCACACACCCTCACTTTTCTCTGGTTAGACCATTGACCATGGGGAATGATGGCAGCAGTTTATGCAGGCAGTCCCGGTGTCAATCTTCCAGGCCTGATCCCATGCCAGGTGAGTTCAACAGCACACGTGGTATTTTCTGTAGTGGCAACAAGGTGGATTTTCTGACACAAACAGCTTAAAACTTAAAATATATGCATTTTATTTCTACAGGAGTGGTCTCCAATCTTTCTTACCTGTGCACCCATATCAGTAAAAATTTTTTGAAGACACACTCCCAATATATGTACATTTATTTATTTCTAAATTATATACATTTATTATTGCGGTAATGTATTATGTACATTATAAAACATACAAAAAATTAGAAATTTAAAAGGATGAGATAAAAATTACAAATTGCTATTTGTAAAGTATTTTAAAATTTCATTTTATTTATTAATATTACAAAAATATTTTCTTCCTGCACCCCAAGGGATTGTCTTGCACTCCCTCTGGAATGGAAGATCACTGCTCTATAGAGCTACATATGTTGGTTCATAAGATGTGGGGAGGCTATTGTTACTAATGGTGATGCATTTATGAAATGAAGCAAAATATCAGGAATCAGTAAGAGATAGAGACTCTTTTATTGGATGTGAATTGTTCATTTGGCCGTGGTGAAAATGTCAGTGTGTTATTGCGTCAAACACAGAAAGCTATTGATATACTGGAAAGAGTTCAGGGGAGGATGACAGGATGAAAAGGTGTCTTGAGATTGATTCATAAAGATTAAAAAGATCTCAGTGTGTGTTGGACATGCAAGGTGATTGTCACACGAGGGAGTTCAGGTGTCACAGCAGGAGAGGGAAGAGTCTTGGATCAAGGGAATAGGGAATAGGATCAAGTGAAACACAGGAAGGTTTAGGTTGAATATGTAAATAAAAAGAAGTTTTAATCATCTAGAGTATAGTCTTCCCATTGTGCTCCTTGCTCCATTTAGTATTTTAAACCACTGGCAAGTTTTAGGTGCTCAGCTGCCATTAATTTTAAAGGAACTGAGTATCCAGCTCCTGAAGACAGTTTTGTAACACTTGTTCTTTCTTTAATGAATATTTAATACCAGACCAGTCAAATTATTTGAATGTACTAAGGAGGTCACCCTGTGACTGGCATGGACAGGTGACTGTGCAGTTGTCAGGAGTTTTTCCCCATTTCTAGGAATGCCAACCTAGGAAAAGCATTTCAGCTTGAGCCAGGAAACTATTCATGAACTTGTTTAACTTTATACACAAAAATAGTAATCCTGCAGCCAGGGAGGACTGTCAGGAAGATCCTTCTCAACTTTTAAATCCAGGCAAAGCAGATTAAAACCTGATGGAGTCAGTTGTAATAATTTCATGGTTTCTTTCCTGCCCTTAATCACTGGTAGCATCAGCTATCGGGTGTCTGGTTTGTGTAATCCCGATTCGCTTCACTTGCTAAGACTTAGTTTGTTTCATTCTATGTTGCTCTGGTCTTCTGCAGAGCTGAGTCCCACATATCTGTTCTGCTTGTTTCCTGGAGGGGGAAAAGCTGGGGACAGAGAGGGAGTCATCACCTGCCAACTGAGGGTGCTGTTGGCATCAGAGGTTGTGTTCCCATGAGCAAATGCTGTGGACAAACAGGAGCAGGTCTGTAGGGGAGCCCCTTGATCACAGAATCAGAGAGTTATTGAGGCTGGAAAAGACCTCCGAGATCATCATGCCCAGCCTGTAACCCAACACCACCACATCTGCCAGACCAGGGCACTAAGTGCCACATCCAGCCTCTCCTTAAACACCTCCAGGGACGGTGACTCCACCACTTCCCTGGGCAGTGCATCCCAGTGCCTGAGCACCCTCTCCATGAGGAAGGGCTTCCTGAGATCCAACCTAAACCTCCCATGCCCTCTTGTCCTGTCACTGGTTGGCCGGGAGAAGAGCCCGACCCCCACCTGACTGCACCCTCCCTTCAGGCAGTTGTAGAGAGTGATAAGGTCCCCTCTGAGTCTCCTCTTCTCCAGGCTAAACCCCCCCAGCTCCCTCAGCCTCTCCTTACAGGACTTTCCCTCTGGTCCCTTCCCCAGCCTCGTTGCTCTCCTCTGGATGCTGCAGACCTGGCACCCATCCTATAGACATCCTCCCTATACATGTTTTGAGGGTGATTTACTTTGTCCCAGCTCTGGGCTGCTCCAACAGGCCCTGGGGAGGCACCTACCTCTGCGTGGCAGGCGTGAATCCAGAGGGCATCTGGCTCGGTTTCATTCCAGAGGAAGGCAACTTGTGCACCTGATGGTGCTCTGAATCTGAGCACACCGTGTGTGTGGAGTGGCAGCTGCACACCATTGGTGTGCTCCTCTTCAGATCCAAAGTACTATGGACACACTTGGGACACCCCCTGGTGCCTGTCCCAAGCTGAAGGGAATTTGCCCATGTGGCACGGGTGCACTGCATGCCGTCCACTCTGCTACGTTCCCATCTTCTGTCATATCTCTGCAGATGAAGGTCAGGGCTCTTGCCACAAGCTACACTTGGTTTCAAGATTTTCTTTTTTTCCCTTGCAACTGTTAAGACTAAAAACTTTTTTTCCATAAAGCAAGCAATATGAAATCAAAGCAGAACACCTCTGAGACTGTAACGCGGTCACGTTGTTCCAGAACACGGGGCTGCAGGTGGAGAGAGAGGACATGCCTGCAGATTTATCTCCTGAGTGGGAACTCTGAAGGCAGAACTTAAAGAAAGGTGGTCTGCCACACATTAAACATACTTGATTTCTCTAGATTTTCATATGCAACCTGCACACTCTCAATCTCTCTTTCTCAGATCTTTGTCCTCCTTTCTCGGATCTTTGTCACCCAGTTAAACACCGTGTTGAAATTACAGAAATTTTAGTACCTTAATAAAGGCTCTCTTCTAAAGAAAAGCGTTTTTCTTAAAAGATATTTAAAAGATCTTTGCGGAAGATAATTCAACTCTATTTACTTATGGTTCATTTGGAGTTCTTTTTGCTACTCAATTATGAAATTATTTCTCCTAATAGTGCCAGGAAAGTTAATAATATCCAAGATCTCAGATTAAAAATTAAACATGGATATAACCATTATTTTCCTCTGATAAATATTCATGTGTGGTACACATTACTGCTGGATTTTTCCAGAAATGAATATAGAGAGATGTAAGCATCATTCTTATTTTATCACAACACAAAAAAATTACGAGTGTTTTAGGCAGTTTTATGCTAATATGACACTAGATGTTATTACTGATGGTAAAATGATGATTTTCAAATAGATGATGAAATGTTGATTTGAAATGTATGACTACTTTCTTATTTTCTTTTTGATTTTTCATTCCTTGCTAAAAAACTTTAACCAGCAGGCTTATAACTGACATGAACAACTAGGGTACATGATAATGTGCATAAATGTAGTATTGCTTACATCTTGGCTCAAAGGAACTTCCTATTTGTTAAGGACTCTTCAATTTATTCATAAATGCTTCATAATATCAGACACTTACAGAAAGCAGTATTGTTAACTTTTTTGTTTTCCTCTGAAAACACACTTTTAATCCCTATTTTCTTTAAATATGAGTATTTTCCTCATGCCATAATACAGCAAAGTTAGGTCAATGCCTCTGAATCAAATTAATGATTCAAA